TCATGTTGTGTCTGTTTGTGGTCATTTTGTGTCTCTTTGTGGTCATGTTGTGTCTCTTTGTGGTCGTGTTGTGCGGCCACAGTCCAGTTTACAGGTCAGACCTCTTTGTGTTTCTAAAACTTTTCAGGAGAACGTCACTGATTTAAACTTTGCTCTCAGACTTTTGGACAAACACACAAACTATCGCTGCCTAGCAACACCTCTCAGTTGTATCAATGAGGTGAAACGAACACGGAACTCTCTACACGTGGTGCGTTCGCTGTCCGTACAACATGCGTGTGGAGAAAACCTGCTGCCGCCTCCAACGTCCAAACTCACCATCTTGGTTTTAACCAGTTTTTCTATGGCGCTAACCAGCTCGGCGGCGCTGGGCACCTCAGAGGACGCCTGCAGGGACGTTAGCAAGGACGAAGACTGAGGAAGAGGAGGAGGAGGAGGAAGAAACGGCATGGTGTTAGCGCACTGAGAGGAGGAAGAGGAGGAGGAAACAGTGGAGAGACTGACGGACAGAAGGCAGGCGGTGGACGCTTCCCATTCCCTGTGCATGTGAGTGGCTAACCGAAGCGTCCTGTTAGCATCACGCTGGGGTCATTTACATAAAGTCCAAGTCCAGGCTGCTGTATGGAAATCAGAGGCTCGACTCTCTGAATCCAAAAACTCCTAAAATAAACCCTACAGCTACCGACTTGTGAACGCAGTAATCTGCAGTAAACCCACGTTTGATGGTAGGAAAGTGTAATTCTGAGCCGCAGCGTGTAGAAGCTGCAGCATGCTAACTTGTTAAATGTTGGATAATTAGCATCATTAACACTAATCAGCATTCATCAACTGTACAGAGAATATGTCAGGAACTGCTTGGCTCATACGAGATAATAATAATAGAGTGGCTTTAGAGATTATTATTGGAATTATTGTTAATATTGGATTGGCTTCCACGTACTACATTTCCTTATTTAAAAAAAAACAACCAAAAGCTGCTTCATCGCCTTTATAATAAAAATAACAACAACAACAATGATAAACTTCTCATTTTGTCATTTTTCCCCACATCTCTATTTTTTTATTTCTATATTTCCATCTTTTTTTTTTTTTTTTAAAACCCAAAACTTTCTGACATTTGTCAATTTGGCAGTTTTAATGTTTTGCATCTCTATGATATAATTATACTTTTATTATTAATACAATATTACATGCATTATAAATGATTTGAAGCAGTTTGTAACTTTTATTTTGAAAGGTGCTACATGAATAAAGTGCACATTTATTATTATCAGTGCTTTTTAAAGATGACCTGTTGACACTAAAGTCAGTTTATCTGAGTGAAATCACTCAGAGGCCCCGCCCCCACCACAGGCCCCGCCCCCACCACAGGCTCCACCTCTCCTAGACCACGCCCCAACCATAGGCTCCACCCCTCCGAGGCCCCGTCCCCTCCGGTACCTTGTCGTCCTGAGCCGAGGGGTCCTTGATGATCTCCATGGGGGGAGGAAGAGGAGTGTGGGCCTCCTCGTCCTGCTCCTCCTCGCCGCCGCTCTGCATCCCTGAAGACGCCTTGGACAGCAGGTTCCCGTCTTTGCTGAGGACTCGCTGAGGAGCAAAGACAGGATGTAGCAGGAAGTCAGAGACATCACACAGATTTACAGTCAGCCTGCTGTTTGCTTCCATCTTTAATGAATAAACAAGACAACAAACTGCCAGCTGCTCCTGGAGTCAGACACAGATGAACAGTAGATCATAAATACATATACATATGTATATATACAGATATTTAGATCAAATATGTTCAGTTTATTGTCACAGAGGAGACAACAAGACCAGTAGATGTTGAATCGTGCAGTTCTTTCAGTGCAGCTGATGAAAACCGACATCACTTCACGTTTTATTTTTCTGATTTTCTTCTGACTCTCCTCCACATGTGGATGAAGCTCCGGATTAGTGGAGGTTTTATGAAGCTATTGCAGACAGTTAGCTGCAAACTGAAACTTTAAACTAAAATGTAATTCCATTATTTGCTACTGACTGCAAATTATTTGTCTTTTTACAGTTTAAAGTGGATATTTGTGCTGATTTGTGTGATTTAAAACAGTTTTAAGATCAAAGTTCAGCCATTTGAGCTCTATGAAAATAAGGTTTTTGGTTATTTTTATAGAAAGTAAAACAGGAAGTGAATCAAAACAAGCAGTTTGTTTGGGTTGAAGTTCACTGATTGTGTGTGTTCGGCTTCTAAAGTGTCAGAGAAAAGGAAAAATGTGCATCAAACGTCTCCTTCAGTCTAAATATATTCAGTTTACTGTCATCAAGGAGGAAACGAACCAGAAAATATTTACACTGGAGAAGCTGCAATCGAAGCAAACATCACTCAAACCGATCGATCGATTATCAAACTATCTGGAGACTGATTTAATACTTGACAGTGAATCAGTTAAAGCTCTAAAAGAAACGAGGAAAAACCAGCGAGTAGTTGGTGAACAAAGAGAAAACTAGTTCAGTAGGCGGTGGAGACCAAACATGGAGCAAAAAGAGCAAATATTTCACCTCCACCGAGCGTTTAACCAACGATTAACTGATTAACGCTTGAAGCTGCACCTGTGAACACGCAGAGAAACTCATTTAAACAAGTTTAAGCTTCTGGAGACTTTGTTCCGCTAAAAAACTAAAAACAGAGAAACTGCACTTCTCCATTTAATTCTTTTCCTTTTCTTTTTAGCTTTTCATTGCGACACAGGACGCACATAAAAATGCACGACGCAGGCTTTTAATGCTATTTATAGCGTCGGTAATCAGTGAGTAATTCGTCATGAGTTTGTGTGTCGGAGACAGAAAAGCTCTTTGAAAGGAAAAGAGGAACTCGGCGTGTTTACAGTCAGATAAGAAACTCTGCACATCAGAGCCGATTAACAGAACAAACCAGTTCTGTTAAAAGGTTAGAGACCAAGTTAACACTGCTGGTTTATTAGAAGTCCTGTCAGACAAGGTGGGGGGAATAAAAAACATTATTCACTGATTAACCCTCTAAACCGGCTCAAGTTAATCATTAAAATCATCGATCAGAGACTCAAAATGGAAAACAAAGGGTCAGATTTTCAACATTCTTCAGATACTTGAACAAACCGCTCAGGACGTGAAGTTCTATCAGGAAAAATAACCAAAACATAAAAAACAAACCGTTTGTTCAAATTAGATTCTGCAAAAAACTAAAAATTCTGAATTTCTCATCACGACTAAGAAACAACGACAGACTCACCTGTGATCAACAGACACATGACAGAAATTATTAATGCTACTAATTAATTATTATTATTAATAATAATAATAATAATAATAATAATAATAATAACAACAATAAATAAATAAATAATAAAAATAAAAAAATAAATGCAGCATCTCAGGGATGGTAACATGTGGAAACTTGCCAGACTATTTATAATTTATTCTTATTCATTTTTCTTGTTATTTTTTAATCATTTTGTGCATGAAATAACAAAATAAACCCAGTTTTTCCTTTTGATTTTGTTGGATGTCCAAAATGACAATAAATTCTTCCAAATGTACTTCAAACGTAGCTCAAAATTTGCCCAAACTGACTCAAAAGTTGCCCAAAATAACTTGGAACTGAACAAAAACTATTAAAGAAGTTATTTTAAATTTTTAAAAAATGCCCACAAGTTGTCCAACAGGATTAAAACTTGTAAAAACGACGACAAATGTAACCGAAAAAGTGCCAAAAACTACAATAAATGACCCAGAAATTGTGTAAAATAACTCAAGTTTAACTAACAAACCCAGAAACTGTCTGGATTTTAAACTTGAAGCTGTTTTTTTACACAAAATCTCTGTTAGCAGCTTCCAAAAAGTGAACTCTATCCACCGTAAATGTTGGAGTAAAAACTTTTCAGCTTTAATTTATGAAAATTAAAAACAAACAAAGTGATTTCCCACAAAGTCACGCCTGTATATCTGATGATCATGTGGATGAACGAGGCAGCAACACCGGATCAGCACCTTAAAGCTTCACTTCATCCCAAACAGTCTGTTCTGTCTGTTTCTACCTAAAACAGAACTTCATGTCCGTGTGCTCCTAGTTTTAAAGGTTTATTCCACCCAAACACGACTTTAAGCACTGGTTATCACTTCACCATCGGTCACTAAGCCGCCGCCGCCGTCTCGCCGCTTACCTCACTGATGATGTCTTCCTGGGAGGGGTCGGGCTGTCCGAGGTCGATGCTCTTCCTGCTCTCCTCTCTACCTGCCCCGGGTCCTGCAACACAACCGGCCAATCACAGTTCAGTCAGTGTCCACAGGTTGATAGCTTTAAAGGTACATTACACAGAATGTCTATCCGGTGTGTTGTGTCTCTCTGTGGTCACGTTGTGTCTCTTTGTGGTCATGTTGTGTCTCTCTGTGGTNTGACTTTGGTCTCATTTTTGCTCCCTTTAGCCCAATTTTTGCTCATTCAGGCTCACTTTTAATCACTTTAGCCCAATTCTTCACCATTTTAGGCTAATTTTCGCTCACTTCAGGCTAATTTTCCATCACTTTAGGCTAATTTTTCATCACTTCAGCTCCATTTTTGCTCACTTTAGGCTCATTTTTCCTCCCTGTGGCCTCTGTGGATAGCAAACATCCACTGAACTTACTCTCTGTGCCAGTCGTAGATCTGGTGGATGTTCCCGAACACAATCTTGTCTTTTCCTTTCATGTCGTCCGGGACGCCCTTTTCCTCGATGCGCTTCATGAAACCCTGCAGAGACAAAAACGTTTAAATCTCGCTGCACACAAGACCTCATGCTGCCAAAGTGAGAGTCAGCAGCAACAAAACCACCTGAATGGAGAATTAAATGTAATAAATGGACAAACCCACCTCCACCACGATGCCCAGGTCCTTGACGTAGTCCTTCTCCGTCTGAATCAGCTCGTTCAGAACAAACCTGAGCAGAGAGAGCAGCAGAAGTTACCGACTGCAGAAAGACGCCGACTGAGGTTTGAGGAAAGATGAAAGATTTCAAAGAGGATGCAGGAGACTTTCTGGTCTCGTGCAGGTTTTAATGTTCTCCAGAAGGTGAGCTGCTCTCCAACACTCTGGCTGGACATCATTAACCACCACATTAGTCTGAGTCATGGTGCTGCTCTACCAGCTGATCAAACCAGAAGCAGCAGCAGCAGAAGAACCACTCACATGCGTCCTCTCATAGCTTTGGCTCTCTGCTCCAGCTCGGGGTTCCTCGGCTGGACCGGAGTGGTTTGTTCTGGGGGAGACAGCGAGGAGAAGCCGGGGTAGGCTCCTGGTTCCAGGGTCTGCAGAGGAGGAGCACATCTGGACATGAGGGACTGACAACCTCAACGCAACACTCACTGTGGTCAGCTTGTGTCTTTGTGGTCATGTTGTGTCTCTTTGTGGTCNCTACTGATGGGTTAGGGTTAGTAATGTGTACGTGAATCAGCTAAAACATCTTCACTTCAGAGATGTTGCTGGTTTGTCTTTAACTGTTAAATGTTTGGTTCTTGCTGCCAGACCTTCACTCTTTTCAAACCGTCTTTAGCGGTGCTAGCTGCTTCGTAACGAGCTCTAATCTCCTTAAACAAAGTGCCTCCAGGAGACATCAGCGGCTCATAACAAGCGATTCTGAGACTTTAGGGTTTGAGGACTGGAGCTGCTGAGTGTTTTCAGGGTCTTCCTGTTTGCTGATGCGTGCTGTTGGTGGTTCTGGAAGTGATTCAGGGTTTGGATGTGGCTGGAGGGCGGAGCTGCACTGCTGCTGCTGATTACTGTGCTGCTGATGCTGCTGAAACCGTCCCAGAGTTCACGTCTTCATCTCACACTCACAACCAGGCCGCAAACAAACCGACCTGCACCTCCTCCACAGGCTCAGCAGATAGTTAGCAAACGTCCATCAGCTGGTCTGAAGGTGTCACCTGGAAATAATCTAAAACAAACGGAGCTCTGACGTCTAAACATGATAAAAGAACGACTTCAGATTCTCAAACTAAACAGAGAAAAGCTCAGTTTTATGATGAGATGTTGCTCAGATGTTTCAGGAAACATAAAACGGATTCAACCGAGTGAAACATCTGCATGAAATCAACCCGCTCTTGTTTTCTGTGTATTAATTAATCCGTTTGAGTTATTTTCCATGAAAAAGAGTCAAAACTCTGTGATTGCAGCCTCTTCAACGGGAATAATTTATTTTACTTGATTGAAAAACAGTCTGAAGACTTCAGAAAGAGTCTCAAAGGACTAAAACTGATCCAGAACAACTACAAACCTCAAAAATGAACACAGGACACACAGAAGTGTCCAGAATGAGCCCAAAGCGTCTTCAAAATGAGCCACAAACCAAAAGTTTATCACAAAGTGTCCAGAATGACAACAACTGATCCAAAACCACTGAAACCGAGACTCAAAACTCCCCAAAACGACAAAAACTGAGCCGCAGTTTACCCAAACTGACCAAAACATGTGCAAAACGCCTTGAAAGGGTTCTAATAGTGACAACAGCCGTCTAAAACAATCTGAAACTTGTCCAAAGTGACCTCAATAGTTCTTCAGAATGAGTCACAATTCGTCCAAACTGACCAAAACACGTCTACAACTCATTAGAGTTTGTTCAGAATGACCAACATTTGACCCAAAACAACAGAAAACAAGATTCAAAACTCTCCAAAATGTCTTAAAATGAGTCGAAATGCTTCAAAAACACCAACAGTTTGGTTCAAAATGAGCCACAGTGACTCCAACCTGACAAAAAAAGATGAGCTGGAAATACTCACAAAGTGTCCAGAACAACAGAAAAGCAGCTCGACTGAGTTTCTGTCCTACAGGAGCTGAAGTTTGTCCAAACAGCTGCTGACTGATGGACGTCCGACCATCAGGGAGCTCCAGCAGCTATCTGAGGTCTGACCTTGACTCTGAGGCGCCTTCAGGAACAAACAGGTCCACAGAAACCAGTGGAACCAGTCTGGCTGCATTCTGATCTGATGTGGACCAAAGTCCGCCGTCAGCGCTCGGCTGACCTCCAGCCCTTAAAGCTGCAGCTCAGCGTCCTCTGAGGACCAGGACAAGCCTCGACTCTCCTGCAGCAGCTGGAGCTCCTGAACGCCTCACCGCTCCTCGGTGACGGAGCCTCAGCTGGAGCTCCTGAACGCCTCACCGCTCCTCGGTGACGGAGCCTCAGCTGGACGACTGAACGCCGACATCAGGCCGAGTTAATCCGACCGTCTGAGCCTCGGCGGTGACGATACGGTCGCATGAATACACAATAATCTGTCGGCTTATGGGCAGAATGACGGGAAGTCAGTGACGGACTGGATCAGAACCGTTTAAAACTGGTCTAACAGGAATGAAGACGTGCAGAATGAAGCAACACGTAGTCGACAAACCTTAAAACTGAGTTTAAAACGTGATCAGAACGACAGACATCTGGTCAGAAATCACAAAATGAATCCAAAGTGCGTGAAACCTCCGACATGAACAACCAGAGCAGTTACATAGTTATTGTTTTAAATCTGAATCTGTTATTTTACTTTTACTGACGTTCCTCCAGTTCTGCTGATACTCCTGCTGCAGGATTAATCATTAATTGTACCTTGTGCTGCCTCTTGGCCACGACGCCCTCGTCAAGAGCTTTTTAATCTCAGTGGGTCTGTCCTGGTTAAATAAAGGTTAAATTAAATCAAACCACAGTCATTTCAGACGTGTTTTAAATCATTTCAGAAAACTCCTGCATAACTCTGTTTTCATTCATTCTAGATCAGTTTTAAGTGATTGTGAACAAGTTTTATTCATCGTGGACACAGTTTATTATCTTTAAACACATTTTAACTCATTCTAGACTCACTTTTTGTCATTTTAAAAACATTTTGTCTGTTTCTGGAAACGTTTTGGTTTGTTTAGAGAAGCTGGACATGTTTTTATTCGTTCTAGACAAATTCAGAATGAACAGGCGCAGGTTCTAGTCGTTCACATGAATCATTTCAGACATATTTAGTATTATTTTGGACACATTGAGTCATTTTAGATCCATTTTAAGCACTTTGATGAGTTTTAGTCATTTTGGACGAACGCTGAGTCATTTTCAACAACTTCTGCTGAACTCATGTTCAGATTCACTTTGGACAAGTTCTAGTTTCTGACAAACTCCAAATGATCTCTGATGACTAAAACAAAGCTTGTGGACTTCTGCAGTCATGTTAGAAATGATGACGGGTTTTAGACATTTAGGATGAACTCTGGATGGACTGAAGTCATTTGTGGCAGATGTCACTGATGCACATGTTGCAGACCGTCACCAGGTTTACATACGATTCAGTCACTTTAGGTACATTTTTAAGCATTTTGGACTCAGTTTGAGTTATTTTTGATCAGATTTGAGTCACTTTAGACACACTGGGAGTCATTTTGAACACGTTTAGGTTATGTTGGACAACTTTTAGAAAAGTTTTTATTCATTTTAGACAGGCTTTAGTCATTTGGGACTAATGTTTGATGAATCTAAGTCATTTTAGAGAGAGCTCACTTCGTTATAGACTACTTATCAGTAAAATGAGCCCAGATTTGTGTCATTTCAGACAAATCTCTCCCATGTTTTGGACACATTGAGCCATTTTAGACATATTTTGAGTCATTTTCAACAACTTCTGCTGAACTCTGGTCGTGTTTTGATTCATTCTAGGTGAGTTTTAAATGATTTTGGACAAGTTTTAGTCATCGTGGACANTTGCGTCTCTCCGCCTGGTGGAACAACCAGGTACTGCAGCTACTCTACCAGACTGTGTATTATTGAGGAAACTGAAACTAAACGATATTAAATATTAAATATTTTGGGTCAAATCGGGGAAAAAAAATCTTCTGTCTGTGATTCTAACTGATTTTGGCGGGTTATGGCTGTTTTTCTGTCTCGGTTCATCAGGCGGACTTTCAGCAGACTGAAATGAGACCAGCTGACCTTTAATATGTAAAATAACACACCTGGCCGACTCGTCTGTACACACCTGACCATTATCTGTGAGTCAGAGCTGGGTTTCTACATGAGCAGGAATGCGGTGGAACCACAGAGATGCTTCGTCTGTGCTTCCACCAGCGGAAGGAGGAGAATCTAAAGAGGAATTCATGGTATGCTTTGAGTCCACCGAGAGCAGCTCCAGGATCAGTCAGCTCTCATTATTTGATTTACAGAACACTGAGTTGTCAGTAATCCCCCCGAACAAAGACCTCAGCTTCATCTCTGCAGCAGATTCACGGCTCAAGACTCTGAGACCGGACCTGGTGGACCAAACTCCACCCAGACCCACTTCCTGTCCGCGTACTGATGGTTTTAAAGGTTTATTCAATCAAAGTTTTTGTGGTTTTTATGGTTTATTCCAACCAAAACACCACTTTTTTTGTCAAACTATTTACAGTTTTAGAGGTTTATTCCACTACAACAGTACTTTCTAACTAACTAGACACCACCTAAATACGACTTTCTACGCAAATATTTATGGTTTTAAAGGTTTGTTCCAAACAAATGGTGTCTTCTAACCAACACGTTATAGTTTACAAAGCTTTCCTCCACTCATAATGCTACTTTCTGTCAAACGTTTTGTGGTTTTAAAGGTTTATCACACTCAAAATATTACTTTCTGTCATGCTACTCATGGTTTTAAAGGTTTTTTCTACCACGACAGTACTTTCTAACTAAACACTGCCCAAATACGACTTTTGATACAAACATTTTGGGTTTTTAAAGGCTTATTCCAACCAAAACATTACTTTCCGTCCAAATATTTACAGTTTTAAAGGTTTGTTCCAACCAAAATCTCCCTTTCTGTCAAAGTTTTCATGGTTCTTAAGGTTTATTCTACCACAATAGAAGTTTCTAACTGACTGAAGTCCACCTAAATGCTCCCTTCTATCTAAATATTTACAGAATTCAAGGTCTATATTATTATATATTATTATATTTAAGGTAAAATAACTGATCAATAACGTGCTGTGTTCTCTGCAGTCACTACATCTCAAACAGATATTTGAAAGGTCTCAGCGATGCCCGACTCAGCCAATCAGAGTAAGTCGATGACCTCACCTGTCTTCTTCTGCTTGCTGTTGGGGAGCTTCTTGACGGAGCTGCCGTGGCTGAGGCGGCGGACCGGACTGGTCAGCCACTTCCTCAGAGTGTTTCCTGAGCGTTTGGGACCCGGAGAGCTGGACTGCAGCGAGCTGAGCGACGGCTGAGGCTGCAGGTTCGCCACCGACTCCGTCTTCCCATCGGAGCTGCCGACCGGGTAGTTCTCTGGAAGAGACCGGGAGGATCCGATCAGTTCGGAGTGAACATCCTCATAACATTCAGAGCAACTCGCAGCTCAGTCATCACACACAAATCAATGCAAATGTGCAAAACCTTCAAAGAAGTCTGGATTTAAATCAGTGATTAAACAGTAAAAACACAACAGTGTAGTTTCTCCTCCGAGTTCAGAACCAAAGACAAAGTTCTTCATGGTTTGGTCCAGAAAAATAAACGTCAAATACGACATTCTGTCCAACTACTTCTGGTTTTAAAGGTTTATTCCACCCAGAATACCATGTTCTATCCAACCTTTCATGGTTTCCGTCCACACAAACAGTCTAAGAGGTTCTGCTTTTAAAGGTTTATTCCACCCAAACAGTGTTTTCTGTCCAAGCACTTGGTTTTAAAGGTTTATTTCACCCAAAACACAACTTTCTGTCAGACTACTTAATATTTTAAAGGGTTATTTCACTAAAAATAGCACTTCATGTCCAAGCCCGGTTATGGTTTTAAAGATTTATTCCTCCCAAATAGCACCGTCTAACTCACAAGTTATAGTTGTAAAGGTTTATTCCACCAAAAATATAACTTTCTGCTAGACTACTTCATCTTTTAAAGGTTTATTTCAGCAAAATACAACTTTGTGTCCAAATATTTATGGTTTTTTAAGGTTTATTTTAACCAAACACTACTTTCTGCCAAAGTATATTCAGTATTAAAAGGTTTATTCCACCAAAAATACCACTTTATGTTCAAACATGGAGATGATTTTAAAAATGTATTCCCCCCAAATCACACAAGTTTTAGTTTTAAAGGTTGATTTCACCAAAAATACGACTTTCTGACAGACTACTTAATATTTTAAAGGGTTCGTTCACTAAAAATACCACTTTGTGTCCAAGCACGGTCATGGTTTTAAAGATTTATTCCTCCCAAATAGCACCGTCTAACTGACTAGTCATAGTTCTAAAGGATCATTCCGCCCCAGTAGTACTTTCGAGCTAAAATCATTCAACCCAAGACCTACGTTCAGTCCACATATTTACAGTTTTCAAGGTTTATTTCACCAAAATTCTACTTGTTGTCCAGGTATTTACAGTATTAAAGGTTTACTCCACCAAAAACACCCCTTTGTGTCCAAACACGTTCTGCTCAAATAGTCCTCTGTCAAACTACTCGTGCTTTTAAAGGTGTATTCGACTCTAATAGCACTTTCTAACCAAATACATTCAATCCAGGTGCTACTTTCTGTCCACATGTTCACTTTTTTTGGGATATATTTCACCAAATAAATAATCTGTCCAAGTATTTATGGTTTTAAAGGTTTTTTTCTGCCCTAATAGTACTTTTTAACCCACAACATTCCATCCAAATTCTACTCTCAGTCCAAATATTTACAGTTTTCGAGGTTTATTCCACCCAAACGGTGCTTTCTGTCAAACGCTTGTGGTTTTAAAGGTTTAATTTACCCCAACAGCTCGTCCTATCGGCCTAAATGTCATCAAATTACGGCCGTCTATCCAAACATTTACAGTTTTCAAGGTCTACTCCACGGAAACTACTACCGTCTGTCAAACATGTTGTGTTTTAAAGCCGACCCGGACGCATGTGTTCGCTCATCGTGTTCAGACAAAACAAATCCACGTTAACAACAACAGCGGCGGCGCTCTGAGTCCAGATGAGCCTCTGCGTTAGAACAGATCTGATCTGGCGAGCAGCTGCCGTCACACGTTTCTCTGCTGCAGACATTCGAGGGGATGAAAATAATGTGAAGTAAAATAAAAAACTCCATGTTGAGGAGTCGCGGGTTTGTTCAGAGTTTCATCTCCGCCGGCTTCGAGCACAAACGACGACTCTGTGAATGAGCAGCAGTCACGCGTCGGCTCCGCGGTCAATCAGCTGCTGTTTGCTTCACACAGATCAAACCAATGATTCAGGGTCAGCAGGACGATTTCAGGCGCTTCCTCTGATCTGCTCTTTTTACTGCGGCGTGACTCTGTGTTGTTTCTGTCGCAGTAAAATCACAAACCGCTGCAACAACAAGCTGCAAAAGCTCCAGAATGAGGCCGATCAGGTTTCCTGCAGCGGCCGCACATCTTTATTTCACAGGTATTTATCTTATTCCACCTGCATCGTGTTCTGGTTCAACCTGTCGGGTCAAACTCGTGATACCCCAGCGTCTGTTCTCAATCTGCGTCTGAGATTCTGCATTTCGTTCCAACTGACGAACAAAAATCAACGATATGAGACACAAAGACGGAAAACAAACGAGAAATCTGGACAAAAACAAACGCAGAGACACTAAATAAACAAAAAGCCACAAAAACCAAACAGAAAATGTCCCAAATGCAACAAAAACGACCACAAAGACGTGCAAAGTGAACACAAACTGACAAAAATGGCGACGACTTGTTCAGCGTTTACCCAGAATCGACTCTGAAACATGAAGAAATGACCAGAGAAACAAAAAGAGACTAAAAACCAATAAAAACAGCAGCAAAGACGCACAAAAGTGACTCAGAACAACCGACAAGAGACACAAAATGAACACAGATTATGGTTTAGCTCAAACTGAGATAAAGCCGTCGCTGGTTTGAGTGTTTTCTGTTTAATTTTGATGCTAAATTAAAGCAGAATTACACATTTTCTCCTTTAAAAAAATCATTTCTTAACTGTAGAAACATCAAAAGCAATTTAGGTAATTTAAGCATTGTGTGTTTTAAAGAACAACAATATTATTTATCTACGACGTAAAGCCGTTAACGAACAGATAAATGAATGAATTTGTGTTTTAAATGGTGAATAATTGATAAAACTGAATCTTCTGTCTGTGTGTGAACGCACCATCTGGTTATAAAAGGTGGATTTCACAAATACTTTCTCTGAAAATGAAAGAAAATCTGTTTTTATTTCCAGTAAACGTCTTTAACAATCGGTTTAACAGTAACTTTACGGTTGCCTCCTTCGGCTCTCATTCCTGCAGGACTTCAGGTTGTTTTGAGTTCCTGCTCACTCGGTCGGACGTTTAAGAGTTTGTGCAGAACAAACAGTGAAGAGTCCGTCGTCTCTTCACAACACACGACTGAACCCAAGTCTGAGAATGACGTCGGTTCTGCAGACCGGAGCAGAAATCATCTGAAAACGGCTTCAACGTGTCGGAGTCTGATGACAATAAGAAGAAACCGCTTCAGTCACTCTGAGCCGCAAGGAAACGATAATTAAAGCCGTTACTAAAAGCACCAGAGTGTGATTCTGGTGTAGGAACAACAGAACCGTGCAGAGTTTCACCAAACAGGAAGTTTCAGGTGTCTGCAGCAGAGCGATGCGAGTTCGGAGCGCTTCGGTCAATGGAAGCTTTCAGGGCAGCTCGTGGTGTAATTACAGAGGAAGCCGAGACAGAAAGCTGCTTCGCCGCTTCGCCGTCTGCAGATCGGTGATTAGAGACACTGACTGATGGAGCGCTAACAGAAGGACGACTGTGTTCTGTCCCACGCCGGACAAAGGCGGCTTTGTCGAGTCTCACCTGACTTCGAGTCGCAGCAGAAACTCTGAAACTAGAAAACATTCGCTGGAAAGTCACGTTTCTGCCGCGAGGAGCGAACTCTGGAGACGAGTGTCGAGTCCGTAACAAACTAAAATACGCTTATTATCATTTCTATTGTCGTATTTAGACAGTTTCAAGCATTTCTAGTGTAAACAAACAAAAACACGTTTTGTACATTACT